ATATTCAACATATGTCGTAGTGTTACTGAGTAAGATCAAGAAGCCTGTAGTGTTACTGGACATAACAAATTTGTCGCTGCTGCGTAAAGATGGACATCCTTCAATATATGGCCTTGGTGGGAGAACGGCGACGGATTGTAGCCATTGGTGCTTAGCAGGCGTTCCAGATACTTGGAACGAGATTCTTTACAATCTCATTCTTTAGCAAAGATAGGCTCATTTCGGGTCCCATTCATAATGAGAAATTTGAATTAGGAGATAATAAAGCAATAGAATTTGTTGGATTGGTTGCCTCCTCATATTGCATCACCAAATTGATATATAATAATCTTGTTTCTTCTTGTTCATTTTTCTCCTAATGAAACTCTCAGACAACAGACCTACCAGATAGAACCAGCCACAAGAAAAACTCATCTGACATAAGCAAATGAATAACAGACCCGCCCCTTTTTTCCGTGAGTACTACGAAAGTTTGCAAATCTGTTTTCATGGTTTATGTTCTTGAGACAATTCAAGAAATTATATTTGAGGCTTTGGAGGACTAAACAGCAGAACCCTGAACGAAAGAATGATTGACCTCAGTTTTTGAGAACTGAACTAAGAACAATCATGCGCTCTTATTCCTCTGAGTTGACACTCAAAACCCATGACATAGTTTCTCTGCCGTGGAGAATAGGTAAAGTTTCGAAAAAAACATGGCAAACTCCATGTGATTTACATTTTTCATATAAATTCTCTCTCAACCTACTGGGGTCCAATCATCTCGATCTGGTGTGCACTCTCGCGCTCATGCCCAAAAATATGGGTCTCAAAAGTCGGATCCACTCGGCGTATGCCGTTCTGTTTATTTGGGGTCTTCTCCGAGCCAAAGGCATTGCCAAGGGAGAGCCAAATGAACACCCTGGTGATTGTGATTTATTCCAAGGGAGTTGGGTGTATGATGACACATCATACCCTCTATACAACACCTCGACATGCCCATTCATCCAGAAACAGTTTGATTGCCAGGGGAATGGACGACCTGATAAATTCTACTTGCATTACAGATGGAAGCCTAGTGCTTGTGCACTACCCAAGTATACACGTCGCAATCTTGAACTCTCTGTCCATTTCTTTGATCTTTTTCACAAAATTGTCTCATATTCAAGGAAATAAAGCTGCCCTGGATTTTGAAGTCGCTGACTGTTTTGATGATTACGAATATTTGGAGTGGTTGGATACTGTAATATCTTCAGGGGAGCGAGTGATCCGTATCGGATGATGTGATGCAGGTTCGATAGCCAGGATTTCCTGAGGAGAATGAAGGGGAAGAAGATACTATTTGTGGGCGACTCGCTGAGCGTCAATCAGTGGCAGTCACTGACCTGTATATTGCATGCTTCGGTTCCCAAGTCCAAGTACACTCTCTCCACAAACAATGTTCTCTCCACTTTCATCCTCCTGGTGAGTTTCGCTATCGCTATTAGCCTGCCTACTACTATGAGTTGCACAGTATTTACTTCGTACGAGTTGTTAATTTCGGCGACACAGTGGAAACGGATTGTAACTTTGCAATTAAGTTGAGAGCTATATAAACCGAAAGAGAAGCAAAACGAGGAACGATAAAAAGATACAAAAAAATTTACGTGATTTGGTCCAAATTTCGGAATCCACGTCCACGGGAGAGAGCCAACAAATTATCCGCTAATAAATTGGAGAAATATAGAGTTTACACACTCGAGTATTTCCCAATACTAGTATATACCCAACACCTGCTATGTTTAATAACTCAACTCCATGGACTCGCTCTCGGCACAAATCTCTCTGTCTCTTGAGAGCTCCTCCTTTGCTTTTCGTCTCTGGAGCTCTCTAGAGTCCGTCATTCTCTCTTCTTCTTCCGTCTCTTGCTTTTATGGAAGTAGGGAGCAATTTCAAGAAAGAAGAAGTCAAGAATGCGCCCATAACCTTTGAAGATAATCATAATAAGGCGTAGGTCGCCGTCTTCACAGATCTTGTCCATTGACATTCAGTTCCTTCGATTAATGTGCACATGGAATGTGACGACCAAGACCCTAGGCAGCGAAAGCAGGATGAGGGATGACAATGGAGGCCGTGCCTCTACCCTGGACATGCGCGGGGCGAGGCTAAGCGCATGTCTCTTATCCCACATCGCCGAGAGGAGGAGTCCTGGGCTAGTTGATAAGGCTTGAGGTTCTCTATTCTGTGTAACGCATTTTAAAGCAGTGAGGGCCAGTAAGCCAAAAGCGAACAATATTACACAGTGTTAGCCCCAGGTCCTTACAGGTGGTACCAAAGCCGACTCTCAACACTATGTTGGGCCACAGCAAGGGTCCTATGCATCCTATGCTCGTAAGGGGTGGAGAATGTGACGATCCAGACTCTAGGTGATGGGCGCAGGATGAGGGATGACAGGGGAGGCTAAGCGCATGTCTCTTGTTCCATATCGCTGGGGGAGGAGTCTTGGGCTAGTTGATAAGCTTTTAAAGCCATGAGAGCCAATAGGCCGAAAACGGACAATATTACACATGGTTACATGGAAGCTTCATTGTTCTTTCCTTTACAACCAAAGGAAATGGCTGAGGAAAGAGACAAAGAAGTTAATGAAAGAGGACAAAACAACCCCACAACTTTTTTCTTTGGTCAATTCTTACTTGCGATGGAGTCTCTATGCAAAACCAAGAAAGAGAACAAATGCAAAGATCGTGGAGACCTCCTTTTTTCAGCTGAAGCAAATCTCTCTCTCTCTCTCTCTCACTTTGCTTCAGTCCCGTGCGTGAGTCAAAGAGAAAGAGAACAACTCTGCCATTTCGCGTGGAGTGCTTTTCAGGAACAAAACTTCGGATATTTCTTTTCGCGCAAAGTTGGTGAAGAAATTCTGACCAACTTAGACGATTTCGTCGCCCTCCTAAAATCGCCTGATCGATTTGCATCCATTGAATTGGCTGAAACTCGAGGCATAAATTAACATGAGTCATTCACATCGATCATCATTCTGGTTCATTGACTATAAAGTGAACCGATGATAGATAACTAAGATACTATTTTGCAGGATTATGGGATATCCATTGTCCTATCAAGAAACAATTTCCTTGTGGATATTGTCGAGGAGAAGATAGGGAGAGTCCTAAAGCTTGACTCTATTGCTAACGGCAGCGCATGGAAAGGATTCGACGTTCTAATTTTCAACACATGGCACTGGTGGCTTCACAGAGGCAAGATGCAACCGTGAGATATTGCTGCGCGTCGAGTGTTAAGTCTGATGTATAGTGAATGAATCATGAGAGAATAGTTTCAACGAAGTCAACAAATTCACCTTTAATAGGAATTGGAACTCCTCGTTCGAGCATAGTTTTAACCATGCTTTTCAAAATGAGATCAAAACACTATGAAGAAAAACTGTCATTCTTGAGCTACTGATATATTTTTGGTGTATCAGGTGGGACTATATTCAAATAGGAGACACAGTACTCAAAGATATGGACCGCTTGGTTGCTTTCCGAGACGGACTGACCAAATGGTCGAAATGGGTACAATCCAACATCGATCCAACCGCTACAAAAGTGTTCTTTCAGGGAATTTCTCCCACACATTACAAGTAATCTCTCTTAAACTTTCATTAGTTTGACAAGATATTATCAGGTGGTACATACAACGCTGTGTTCTACCCAATGATGTGATAGAAAGACTAATTGATACATGTGTATGGATATATATCGGCATGCTTCCTTTCTTTGACATCTTATGATGATTGCAGGGGCGAGGAATGGAAAGAACCAAAATCAACATGTAGCGGGCAAAGGGAACCCGTCAAAGGGTCCGTGTATCCTGCAGGTCTGCCGCCGGCAGTGACCGTGGTGAAGGAAGTCTTAGCCAACATGTCCACAACCGCCGAGGCCGTCACTTTGCTTGACATAACAACGCTGTCGCAGCTGAGGAAAGACGGGCACCCATCTAGATATGGTGGAATTCGCGGCAAAGCAAAGATTGACTGCAGTCATTGGTGTCTCGCTGGCGTTCCCGACACTTGGAACGAAATACTACGTGCTATTCTCATCGCGAATTCCGTATAAGCACACACACACTCGCCTCGAGGATATTGGCACCCGCATAAAATTCGAAAAATGGTCATTAAGAGCGACGATCATGTACCTCCTCGGTCAATCAATTGTTTAAGGAAGTAGTGAGTATGAGTAATTTCGTTTCCTTTTCTATGTTTTTCCTAAGAGATATCCATTGATTCTACTCAGAAATGATTTTTTTTTATTTCGTGCCCGAAAATAATTTCTAAGTATTTGAAAATATTTGATACCTGCTCAAAATTTCTATTCTTAGAATAGAAAAAGAATAAAAATACGTTTGGTAATTACATGAAATTTCATTTTATTAATAATATTTTAATAATATTTTGAATTTTTTAATATTTCTTTCTCTTTTTTTTTTCTTTCTTTCCCTTTCCTTCCTTGGCCATAGCCGGCGGCCGACACCGGCGACCGGCCACAGGCCAGGGCCAGCGAGGGTGTCGCGGCCCTCGCCGCCGACCTCGCCTCAGTTGGGCGAGGCCTTGCTGTCGCGGCCGCAAGCCGCCCTCACCCAAGCGGTGAGGGGTACCCTCGTCGGCGGCTAGTGGTCGGTCGGGAAGAAGAAGAGCAACAAACCAAAAAAAAAAGAAAAAAAACTAAGAAGAATCCAAAAATGAAAAAATTGCTTCAGAATCAAGAAGCTACTTTTTTTTCTTCTTAATTCTGTTCCAAAACTGATTTTGAGAACAATTTTTTGCAAAATTGTGCCCGGGCACAAAAAATTTAACAAATGAATTTCTGTTTTCAACTGATTCTGAGAATAAAAAAATAAAAACTTTTACTATTTGGCAACTTGCCAAAGGAGCCCTTAGTTGCTCCGGCGTATGTTCCGTCGCCATGTTGTTGCTTCGGCTTTCCTTGCCCCCAGCCGTCGCTGACGAAGCACACCGCCCCACTCCGAAGAAGCAAAGCCCTCGTCCTCGACTCTCTCCCTCCGGCGCTCACTCTACGCTCGGGCGTTCGCTCCGTCTCTGCTTCGGCACAGCTTTCCTTCGCTGGGTAGCCGAGATCAGGGGATCCCATTTTGACTTCATTCAGGTAGGGATGATGAACTTGCATTACTCTATTTGTTTTCTTGAATCTACATCTCTGCCATGCCCAATCAAACATTGAGATATGTTTGGAGCCAAAACTCGCACTCTGCTCCGGCGCTCGCTCCGTCGCTCGATCGGTCGCCCGCCTCTGTTCTTCTCCATAAAGCCGCACGAAGCCCTCTCTCTCTTCGTCGCTCTTCCTCCAAAGTCGTTCTTTTATTTCCCTTATCTGCATTGACCAATTCACTACGCCTTACATGCTTTGATCCACGAACATTGGTCTTTTCATTCTCTTTTCTCTTTGGTGGTGGTGGGTTCGGTACAAAATGGGGGGTGGGGGAAGAGGGAGTCCCCTTATGATTTTTTGCCACCATTGTTACGGCAAATGAAAACAAACCCAAGCATGATGCTCTATTCTAAAAGGGCTGCTGATTAATTTGCTTTGTGTTTGTGTCCTTGTTTGAAGGTTTGAAGGGATGATCAGTCCGAGCCAAGGGCAAGCGGCATTGCTGACATTCTGCTCCTGCATTGGCCTTGCTAGCGTTGGCCTTGTTGTTACAATAACTGTTCCGGGTAACAACTAGTTTTGGATCATTGCATTGAGCTTTCCTTGAAGAGTCTGAGTTCTAGTGTTCCTCATTTCTGAAGAACGGAAATCACGCGTGAATATTCTGAACCCTTGATATGATATTTTGCAGTGGTTCTTTTAGAAGAGGGCATCGAGGAAGGAGCAAATTAAGGTAAAGATGTGGTGGAAGACGGGACGCTATCAGAGATTGTTGTTCAGGGGGATGATCAGCAAGTAGAGCAGATGAGGAAGGAGCTTCAGCTCAGTGAGAAGGGAATGGTTTATGTAAAAGGCATATTCGAGAGATGACCAACACCCACAGCAATACTTGCTACAGGGCCATGTTATTTCTAGGAAGGTTAATTCTGATGCTAAGGTGGATACCATGCAGACTCTGCCCAACCTAAATGAAGGTATTGAATTTTCTTGTTTGTTGGATGCCGGATTCCGAAAAAAGGTTTATTCATATAGCTCATATATGTAACACCATGACTATCTAGATGAGCTGCCCCAATTTGAACAAGCCTGGAAGAAAAATGCTAGAATTTTCCTGGTTGGAGCGAGCATTTTGATGGCCATGTTGGACGGGGTGAGTATTGCTGCGGGATTTTTTTCTCAGCTACATCTTGTTTTGATGACAAGCAAAGAATCAATGTTTCAATTTCTTACTACTGTTAAGAGATAGGCTGAATTCTGTGGTGAATTTGTTCTGCTGTTAAAGGCCTTAGCGGAACAATCTCAACATTTTCGTTGAACAATTTATCACTTGTCATGTGAGAGTGGTGTTCTTGTTTCTAACATGTGCCTTTTGTTGGTGCCAGCCGCAGTCAAGCATTGCCTTTGTTGGACAAGGATCGTGAAGAGAGGGAGGGAAAACAAATGTGAATTGTGTCTGAGCTATTATGGTCCACTGTCATGATAATTTATGAGTAGGAGCAGAATGACGGGTGGTCTGGAGCTTACTTGACCAAGAATTCGCCCTGCAATCTTTATGGTTGGTCCAGGCTGAATGTGTTGTCTGCTGATGTATTAAAATAGGAAGCAAGGGAATAAGGTTTATAAGATAAAATGTAATTCATTGCTTGTCGACTTTGATTTTGGCCTTAGGAAAAATGCTGTATCATCCTCGTTTGTTGTTTATCATTGTTAAGTTTAAATGGGAATGATGTGCTTCGACGTGCATAGCTCCTATGTGATGCTTGGGTAACGATATTGAAGAACTTTTCTTTACGTCTATGTTCCATGTATTATCCATAAATTCATACAAGCACTGTCAAAAAAGCAAGGAATATCGAGTAAGAATAGCCAAATTTTTCCGTAGTTAGAACTTGGAAGTGTTAGGAATGGAGTGGAGGTAGGATTTTCACGGTTCCTGGCATCGCATTCAGGCATTCTTATATTCATTCAAGTGAAAAAATATCATCAGTCAATGCTAGTCTTGCTTGATGACATTTTCCTCTGTTTCCAGTGACCAAATCATAGCACATAGGAACGAGAACATTCCATGCCACATTTAAACTTTTGACTAGTTGAAAATGTCTGAATTTACTCTCTGAAAAGTGAATTAACCACTCCTATTCAATTGAATTAGATGGACAAGTGAGAGAACCGCCTGGGAAGAAAAAAGAGTACTATTGAGATTGATCAACCCACCTCTTTCCAGAAGTAGGACCCCTTCAGCCAAAAAATAAATGTCATCAATGTAATCACAGAAAAATGGATCCTCTTGGGAACAATAAATCTAGTATCAGTATGGACAAAAATCCCCCTACTTCTCATCTAAATCCGCCAAGAAAGGATGGACGTGCAAAAAGTGGCAACCCATGTTTGTCAATTCGTAAAGACCTAAACTTAGCCAACGTGGTGGTAGTCTTGTGTACCTTATGTTTTGGGTTACACCTCTGATGAAAACATCGAAACATGTTTGAGCAAAACTCCTCTCATCAGACTTGTCTGTCCAGTTGCCATTTTGTCCCTATGGGAACAAACGGATGGCGGAGGGATCATCTAGAGCTCGCTCCTCCTTCGCTCAGGGCTGCAAGCAGCCAAGACAGTGAGCGGAACACCTCGCTATTTCCTTAAACTCACCATGACCTGCATCGACGATTATATCGATAAGTTCACCACATGAAATGCACCTTGCCCATCCAGGAAAAAACAAATGCAATAAGCACTTGAAAGAAAGCGTCATAAAGAGAACAAGCATGGGATTCTAGAGCATAAAATGCATAATAATAGGACCAAAAATCTACTAGAGCATATATATAACTCGCATACCTAAACCAATTTCTCTCGAAAGGCATTTCAAATGGCTTTTGACCATTGATTGCAAATCCTCTCTTGCTCTATGAAAATGGCTAGCTTCTCCTCCTGCATAAGGAGATGCAACCCCATCAGAACCAAGGCTAGATCGGCAGCTGGACTGATGATGCTGGTCAGGAACTATAGTTGAGCTCATCCCTGCACGCTCGTCCCAAAATGCCCAGCCAGAACTACTGGGAGTTGGAGGGGTACTGGTAAGCTTATGGTCGTTGACTGCTTGCACAATTATGGAATCCCCAGAAGCCAGAAAGAAGTAAAGAAACACTAGAAGAGTACTCTAAGCATGGAGGTCATATGCAGCCTATAAAACAGATTTTTGCAGTTAATAAACAGACACAGTACTGCAGTTGGAAAGTAATTCAAGCACATCAGTATGCACGTGGTTCTTCTCCAGAAGTTAAAACAAATCTAGCAAAACAAAATTCTCACTACCTGCTTGAAAGTCCAATGAGAAATTAAAAAAAAAAAAAAAAACAGAAAATTTTACCTTTCGGATTTGAAAGTCCTCGTAACAAAAGCTCGCCACTACTGCCTGGAGGCAAGAAGGATCCAGTCTTGCAGCCCAACACCTTGGCTTGCATATTTGAAGCCCAAAGTCCAATGGAAGAAATTTTTCGACACTTCTTAGTACTGAAGCCTCAGGTTCCAACTGCAGTTGACTCGGTCATGCCATAACCCTGCCAACCAGCATAATCACTGGCAGAACACGCCTAAACAGCAGAAATCCTTGTGGTCACCCGACATACAAACATGGCTCATCAAGTGATGCCATAACAAGTTCATATTCAATGAACTCAAAATTAAAATTTTCCATCTTAAAAGTATTAGAAAAAGGGTAAAAGAAATCAAGACTCCAAACATATCTCAGCGTTTGATTGGGCATGGCAGAGATGTAGATTCAAGAAAGCAAATAGAGTAATGCGAGTTTCATCATTCCTACCTGAATGAAGTCAAAATGGGATCCCCGGATCTCGGCCACCCAGCGAAGGAAAGCTGCGCCCGAGCATAGAGGGAGCGCCGGAGGGAGAGAGTGGAGGACGAGGGCTTTGCTTCGTCGGAGCAAGGCGGTGTGCTTCGTCGGCGACGGCGGGGGCCAAGGAAAGCCGAAGCAGCAACATGGCGATGCAGCGTGCGCCGGAGCAACTGGGAACACCGAGCGAAATTTGAGAGCGAGAGAGGGAAGGGCGTTGGGTTTTCTTCTTCAAAGGAAAAGAACGTAGAAGAAGAGAGAGAAGAGATAAATGTGGAGAGAGAGAGAGAGAGGGGGGGCGCAGAGCTAGCCTAGCGTGCAGGCTAATGAGATCGAGAGAAAAGAGGATTATTTTTTGTGGCAAAAATTTCGCCGGCCCCACGGCGCCAAGTGGATCCACGTGGCGCTTCATGAGTGATCCGGGATCACACCGACGTGGAGCGCCGGGACCACCTAATATTTTCTCGCAAAAGGGGAGGTGATTGAGATTTGGCTGTTTTCTTTTTTTGTCTCTACTTGAGAGTTCATGGGGCTTCTTCCATGCTTCAGGAACGGAGCCTAAAATGTTTATGGGGGAAAAAATAGCCAAAAAAAAAAAGGAAGAAGAGAAAAATCGGTAGGATCATCCATAGAAAATGCCTGAGAAAATAAAAGCTAATTAATTGGCCACAAAGAGATCGGGGAATAAGAGAGAAAAAAAGATGCCCCACAGATTCTGATACCTTGAATCTTATTCGAGGGGCTGTGCCTATTAGCCAATTGTAGATTTTCAATTTGATTTTTAGTTAATATTAAGTACTTTAACTTTTGGAAAGCAGCATATGAAAGTTAGGATTGAAGTTTTTTTTTTTTTCAATATATATATAGATAGAGTAAAGAAAGTACTGCAATAAACAGTATAAGTTGGGACATGTTTTATGGGACAACTAAACTAAGTAAAGAGTCCTTGGCTTGTCAATTATTAGGGCGTCATCATAATCACGTCCCACCCTTGGGACGCCTTTCTTGATATGTCCTGAGATCTTCAAGCACGAGGATGTCTTTTTCACGCCATGCCTTCTGCATGGGGACGATAGCCCAAACAAGCCCCAAAAAACGTTTTCCTAGACGTCCCTGAATTTTGCAAATTGGGACGACGCTGAGGAAGCTTCTCGCAAGTTTTCTATTCAAGCCACTGGGACGTTTCCGGACATCTTTAAGTCAAAAGCTGGGATGCCTTAATTTGATCAGACGACGCCCCACAAGTTTTCTGTACAAAGCTATCGGGGATGATTTTGTCGTGTCCCCCAGAGCACTTGCGTGGTGTTAACGGGGTATAAAGAATGACTTAGGACAATTTAGTATGTACCAAAGTCTAACTATTAATTTGGTTCATAAGAGTAAGAACTAAATTAATCACAGATACCGAGAAAAAGGCTATGCTGCTAAGATTAATTTGGATAAATCCATTGCAAGACATTAAAAAATGGCTGAAAATAGATACAAAAATCATTATGATTTGTTGTTTGTTCCCGAAAAAGTTTTATCAAGTAAAGGACATAGAGAATTAAGAATTCTATCCTCTCAATTGGAGAAAGAGAAATGGTATTCATAAAAATCCAATGTTTTGCAACAACGTAAAAAACTTTGGTGATTTTTTGGATAAAATAAAACATTTTGATAAAAAAAAAACTAATTAAATTAAAGTTCTTTCTTTGGCCTAATTATTGATTAGAAAATTTATCTTGTATGAATCGATATTGGTTTGATACCAATGGGCACAAAGTTTTGTGTGTTTGTCGTGTGAGAACCATACTCCTCTCTATATAAGTCTAGGACGTTTTCTAGACGTCCCTAGGTCAAAAATCGGGATGCCAAGTCAAGTTCCCTGTCCAAGCTACTAGGGATGCTTCTCTCGAGTCCCCAAAGGAGCACCTGTCTTAAACCTGTTACATTTGTATTAATATAGCTATAAGTCTTTCAATTTGGCCAATTTAGTCATAAACTTATTGCATTTGCGACAATTCAGTTTTAAATCCTTCAATTGTGCCAAGTTAGTCCTCAAACCTTTTGACAATTTGCCAATTTAATCATTCCAGTAAATTTTGACCGGAAATTGCTAATATAGATAAATTTTTTAATTTTTTAATTATATATATATATATATATATATATATATATATATATATATATATATATTTCCCTTATCTTAGGCTGGCGAGGTTGCAGGCCAACCCTAGCCTCTGGGCGAGGGGCGTCGTGGCCTCTTTTGAGTCCTTGCGTGTTAATCCCTCCCTGGGTCTTACGCAGATTGGGAGATCTAAGTGGAATGGGAATGTGGGAAGCTCAGTAGTAGTTGTCAGAGTGGATGCGCCGCTCTCCACTGTCGGTAGACCTTCTTTCTCCGTTCAGATAAGCAGCGGTGTTGAGTTTTGACTGCATCACACCCTTAATTTGCAGTTGGAAGTGTACATAGTGTTACGTATGTTTAGCACAGGATACCATGTGAGTATTTCCCCACTTTTGAGGCAATGGATGAGTTTTTATTTGTCCGCATTTTACATCTCTTGCACTTTTGGGAGAATGAAAGTTGATGATTTCAGAAGCAGATTACCAAATTGATCCCAATTCTTTTCCTGAATTTTAGAGGAAGCCCTTTTAGCTCCATGCGTCACTCTGTTTCTTTGGCACAAAGTTTGACATGGTGGGTTCTATATTTCAAGCCATGAAAACGTAATGCCTCTGTCTTTATCATCGAGGGGTCATATATTATCATTTTGCTAACGCTAAGAACATACGATACCTAATGTTTAAGTTAATGGCGTGCCAAGAATTTAAGCATGTAGGGCCTGTCTCTTCACTAATCTTGTTTGCAGAGGAATCATGTTTGTTTAAGAGTAGTAGCTGAGCTTGAATAAATTCATGGAATGACACTAGGAAATACTAGAGTGTAACAAACGTTGAAGGCCTAAACCATGAAAAGTGCCGTTTATTCGATTGTAAATAATCATTCCACACTAATACTGTCAGTCAGGTGAGAAAAAGATCTCTCGTTTGAGCTGATACAAATGTGGTTTGTTTGAATTGCTTTCGAGCAACTCAAAATATCCATCTTCCTGAATTATTCAAAATCAGCAGTAGCGGTCGGTCATGGAAGCTAAGTACCTTCCCAAATTACTCCAAGTAGGAAGAAAGATGTACCGAAGGCTGAGCGCTTGCTTCAGCTTCAAGTCATTTCTTCATCTGCTCTTGTGCGGGGATGTGATGTTCATGTGGTGCCTTTTTGCCATGGTCTACGCCCTTCCTTTGGGAATAATTACTCCTCTACGGAAGATGTGACATCCCGAATTTCGGCCCATTTTTGGGATTTATAAAATGTGTAATTCGTCAGTGTGCTTATAGTAAAATCTCGCCCGGGAATTGATTACTCTCGGTTATTATTTTTAAATTAGAGATTTCGCTAGAATCGCACTCGATCGAATTTGGCCGTTATTGAGAGCTCAAACTTTGGTGTTGAATTTCTCGGAGTTTCGGGACGAATTTAATTGGACGGTGTCGATATTATTGTGGCCAGCCTCGATGTTGCCCGGGATATGTGAAAAGTGAATTTTTGACCGGGTGCGGATTTGGACTAGTAGACCTCTCTCGTAGTGTGTTCTATTTGATTTCTTCTGGCCCTTTTTCCTAATAATTAATTAGAATTTTCGTGGACCGTTAGATCGATTTTTGGGTTCGAATCGTGACCGTCGGATCGCACTCGAGTGCAATATTTGACTTTTCTCTCTCTCTCTCTCCTCCCCTCACCCCGCGTGCGTCCCCTCCCCCCTGACAAACCCATCTCTCTCTGTCCCCTTTCTCTCTCTCTCTTCCTTTCTTCTTCCCCTTCTTCTTCGTTTTTCTTCTCTGGTTTTCTCTTCGCCCGCGGCTGCTTTGGTTTCGCTTACGCTCGCCCGGCCCGACGCCGGACCGAGCTCGCCTCCCGCCCCGTCGCCGTCGCCGCATGAGCCGCCTCGACCGAGCCGCGTCGCCGTCCGTCGCCGCAATCGCCCATCGCCGGGCTTTGCCGCTGAGGCGCGCGCGAAGCAAGCTTGTCGGCTGCGACCGCCGCGACTCGGCGCTGCCCAGCCTCCCGCCGGCCTGTCCTCCCTCGACCGTGCCGCCTCCGGCCGCCGCGAGACCAGTTTCCCCCCCTATTTCTCTCTTCCCCGGCGCCTTCCCCTGTTTCGCCAGAAACCGTCGCACGCCGCCGTCTCGGCCGCCGCTGCCCTTACCGGCTCACCACTACCACCCAGCTCCCCTTTTTCTGCTTGGTCGCCGCCCCCGCTGCCGCCGGCGCCACTGTGGCCGCTGCTCCTCTGTTCCGGCCACCGCTCCCCTCCCTTTCCTCTCCTTTCTCTCTCTCTCTCGTCCCTACTCCGACCGCCGCCGCCGTGGGCCGCCGCCGAACGCCGGAGCTGCTGCTGTCCCGAGACGTTGCTACTTCTTCCGTCCAACTCGCCGCCGCCCGCCTTGCCACAACCCAGACGACGTTGCTGCTGCTTCCTTCCCCTGTTACTCTCCCGTCGCCGTCGCCGCCCGCCGTCGCCGGAGCTGCTGCTGTTCCGGCGAGGCCCTTGCTCGTCCCTGCTGCCGCCTCAGCCAGAGCTCCCTTGCCGCCCCTGTCGCCCGGCAGTGGCCGAGAGTCTCGTTGATCGCCGTTGTCGCTACTGTTCCGGCGAGTCCCCGCTGCCCTTGCCCGTTTCGTGCTCAAGTCGAGGTAAGCAACTTCCTAATCCCGGCTTAGGATGATGGGTAATGCTAGACTTGTTTAGGGGTTCGTGTGTGGGCTGAATATAGAGGATATAGTGGCTGTCATGGGCTGTTCGGCGTGGTTTTGGTGGCCGTTTAGCGAAATTTGGTGGCTGAATTGTGGGCTGGTTCGAGGTGAACGAATGGCCCAGAGTATGGGCTGAATCGGGGTGGTTTATTGATGATTTTATGACTGGTTTAGAGGTCGTATAATGCTGGAAATTTATGTTGAGTTTATTAGTTGTTCGCTTGTGATTCAATGTTCGATTGGCGATTGTTCGTGTTGGTTTGTTTGGGCCGAGTTAATGAGAAAGTGTAAACTGAGTTGTGGCGGTCTAAGGACCGGCTTGGTGTGATTGAATGAGGAGCCGGGAGTGTTTGAATGGCGGGTTAACTTGTGATGGTCCATGTGTGATTTAATGCTTGAATGTGAATTTGGTAGATTGGCCTTGGCGTGTGATTGAGCATTATATGAGATGGGTTGGCGGAT